CCCCACCCTTTCTCCCTCGCAACCCCCAGACATGGCTGGTCCTGACCTAAGGGGAACCTCCCCCCTCCCATCCACCCTGGGTCCCCCTAAAAATTTTTTAAAACACCCCTGTAAAAACTTTCTTAATTTAAATAATTTAGATAATTTTTTATCCATGGCCGCTGCATGCCACCTCTCGGGGTTCCACACCCCATCCTTGGCTCTTTTATGACTCGTGGACTTCACCTTCCAGAATTCCTGAGCCAGCATGTATTTCTACACTGCATGCTGGACAGAGGACGTAGTTCTTATGTAATACAAAGAGCAGGGATTTCTTTCTTTGAAAGTAATTGGCTCATTTACATGCCCCATTTACTATTCCAACTGAATCCAGGTTTTAAAACTCTTTACTTCGGCCCAAGTAAGTTAAGCTTGGAAACTAATTTATCTAATCTATAAAATGTCATATACCTTAATTGCACACATGTTACAGCTTTGCAAAACTTTGATTCACAGATTTGGTTCAGCATATCTCTAAACTGAGCCAACTTTACTACTACATTAGAAAATGGAATCAAGTGGTCAGATTCGAAGAGAAAGGATTTGGAAAACCAAATTGAAAACAACACTGAAGTGTTATGTTTAATTGTTTTTTTAAACTGATTTGAATTGTTAAATTGAATTAAATTAGTATTTCTAAGTGAATCGGGAATTCAAACTGAATGAAAGTCAATTTCTACACTCTAATAAACATCACTGCTAGGTTGATCGTATTGCAGAGGATCTTCAAAGCAAAACAACCAAGAGAAAAGAAAATGATATGATCCAGAATATGTTTCTCAACCTTCGCAGTTTGAAGATGGGTGGACTTCAAGTCCCAGAATTCTGGGACTTGAAGTCCACACATCTTCAAACTGCCAAAGTTGAGAAACACTGACCTAGATTGCTATAGCAAACCTCCTGGCTTATGTAGGGTTTGCACCTATAGCACACTAAATGACATCTTTCCAGAATTCTTTAAAATCTTGCTAAAAGAGAGATATTTTGCACTGAATGCTGCAAATGTGTGAGATAGTAAAATTTATTCCATTAACCTGACCTGTCTTATATTCTTTATTCTTTGGTACTGGGCAAATGAACTAGAAGAAAGCATGTCTACAGATATGAATATCATATCTTTAATCAGTGGATGGAAATGACAAGAACAGAAGCTGGAGTATTATGAAAATTCAATATGTGCCTGGAACCAAAACATTTTTTTAAAGATGGAATTTGGAGTGAGATATATATGGCATTCCTACACATCTCATTTCTTTAAAGACGTTAGCTGTTCAAAATCCACCAAGCAATGAAGAGTCTTGCCATTTCATTGTCATATCAATGAGGTAAGATATAGAAATTATAATCATTAGTGGGGAAATTGGAGTTCACGACAGGGCCACTCAATAACAGGTGAAATACCTTGCTGATTGCTCCTCAAGAAAGATACGGAATTGTTCCAAATCTGTCCTGTTGTTCAGCAATTTCATAATGGAGTATGATTTGAAACCTTCAGAATAGTCTTGATCAATGGATTCTACAAGTCGAATAGACTCAGACTTCTGGAGAACTTCTGCAACTGCCAAAGCCTAAGGAAAAAGTTGCACAAGATAATGCTCATACTTCCTGGTTTCTTAGCTCACGAAGATATGTATTTCTTCTTTGTTTTATGCAGTTTCATTGTATTTCAGGTTCAAAGATTAAAGGACACCTCTGTGCATCCAGATCTGTGACTGGGTACATTTGATTAAAGATAATATCTGTTAAGTCCGTAGATAAATGGCGAAGGAGGCAATTCATGCTACAGAACAGATCTTTATTCTCTCTCAGTCACAACTACCAACCAACCAACAAGAGCAGAGGCACGCAGGCCTCCTTTTACACTCCCAGATCCCCGGGCAACCACAACCAATAGCAGGCACTCTTTTCCCGCCTTGCGCATGTGCGCAAGGCTGGCGCCGCTCAGTCTGGTCTCAGGCAGCTTTTGCAATGCCCAGGACTCTTGCAGCGTCCCGAGCCTGCTTCTGCAGGCTCAGGACACAACAATATCTATATCATCTCTTGTCACTAATAAATGGCTTTATGTAGGATTGATAGCTGACTACAAACACTAGGATTGTGTAGATATCTATATAAGAGAAAAGAACAAAAAGGTCATCTATTCCTTTTTTATATCATCATCCTGATATAGCATAGGCACCATGACAATGGCTGGCATTTTAAAGGTATATAACCTTGTGGCTCAAAAGAATATAACGTATTGTCCCTCTCAACATAATATATGAATCTAGGTCACCATAATAGATATAGCTAGAAAATGAGGACATGACTTCTAGAAGTTGATCTGCATATTACACATATGTTGTCTATAGCACTATTACAGAGCCAAACTGTTGCTTTGAAAAGGGGCCATTTTGTAACATCATGCTTTCAAAGCACTTTTCTTAAAGGAGACTGGTATGTTCTGTTCCATTGTCCTCCCTGCAATGGGCTTCTTTGGTTACATTTGCTGGGAATTATGAGGGTTGAAGTTCAACACATTGAGAATTTCCAGAAGTCTGACTTAGGATATGATTTAACAGTATAACTATTTCCTTATTGCTAGAGAAAGGAGAACAGCCATGGCTTTTTATGACATAAATACTATTATATTATACTACTATTCAGGAATATGCCCAGCATGCATTTTATGGATTATCGTATGAAATATTATTAACTGGTGGATGCTATATTAGTATGTATGTGAGAAAGAGCAATGAATCTTGGCTGTATAACTAAGATGCCAATAAATCTAGTGAGATCTACAATTCATCCCTCACAGTACTTTTAATATAAAGCTGGAGATTTGAGCTTTTGGGGTGATTCACCAAATGCTTACAGTTCATATTAATGCCCACAAGTTCATAGGAAGAAAATAATATTCATTTGCATTTGCTAATCAGATAAAATGTCCTCTATACTGGAGTTATATGTTTATTGCCCCATATTCTTCCTTCTACAGTATTTTATCAATTAGTAGTAATAGTATTAGTAGTATTAATAGCAGTAGGATAAATATTGTTGGTTTGCATGCCAAGCCATTTCTCATGACACACTTGCTATAATTTTGAAGCCATGCAGCAATTGGCTGGTATGGACTAAAAGTTCATCCATTGAAAGTTTTAATATAGAACTGCATTGTGTAAAAACTTTGTAGGTTTCTCAAGAGACAGATTTGCTGCCACAGAGAAGCACATGGGGTTAAGCGCTAAATATGAGGCAAGAATAAGGATGTTGTTTTTGTTAATAGGTGCTTGCCTTTACCTCATCCTTCTTGGAAATGCCCTCTGCATGCAAAGCCTGCAGCTTTTTAAAGTACACTGAGTCCAGCTGTCGAATTTCTTCCACCAGCTCCACCTAATAAAATAATAAGTTCTGTCATCCACCCAGCACATATTACAGAAAGAAAGAGGAAGGGGTAGGAGAGGAAAGCTGCCAATGACAGTGGGTAGAAAAGAACCACACTTGCCAGGAACAAGACAGATGTTTAGGAGACATATCTCTGCATGTTGCATTTCCCCCAGACCAGATGATTCAAGGAAAATATTTGCTGAAACAGCTAAAGCAACGAATATTGTGTGTATCCGTTTGGCCCCTCCAGAATCAAGAAAGACATGTAGAGTTGCTTCTGGGTAGTTTCCTTTATTGTTCCTTATCTATAGACAGAAATCTTGCTAAACTAAAGCAATTATATGCATCACTATATATATATACTTTGTTTTACCCAGTTCCTCCAGACCAAACATTCCATATTTTGCCCTCTGGAATTGCAGACCCTCCCTACTGGGAATCCAGACTACATTCTACCACAGCATCTCACTCAGGGACAAATTATTCTCTTCAAAGAACATGGTGGCAAAGTCACTAGCAGTGTGTGCATGCTAATTGATAGGTTCAATTTATGTTAAACTCGTTAGATTTATGTTAAATTTTGTTTTGTTTTTTGTTTTGCATGAAAAACAAAATTTAACATAAACTCACCAGTTTATTTAATATGGACTAACAAGTGCATTTATTTGTTTGTTTGTTTTAAAAAAGATGCTAAAAGCATTAAAAAGAACAATGCTTCTTCTGATAGTAAATGGGTAAAGAGTGCTTATTGGAACTACAGGCAAACAATCTTTATTGAAACATTAACAACTTTTGATATTATTTGTAAGCTACCTTGGTAGATTTGAATCCAGAAATTTGAATTGCAAAACAAATAAACAAATAAAATGGGAGCACCAAAATATAGCATAGATATCAGCATGTTGGGAAAAATGCTAAGGTTTGTTTAATTACAAGGGAAATCCTACAACCAAAAACTTAAGGAGAAAAAATTCAAAACTTGCACTATGCTCAACAGCTGTAGAATTGGAAAAGAAAAATAGAAGAATGGATTATTAACTTGGACAGAAAGGCTGATTGATCTCTAAACGGGAACATTCTGCAACATTTATCAAAACTTAGGATTCAAATGGTTGCAATTAAGCAATTGCAAAAAAAAATTCTTTGAAACTATTATTCTTGCTGGCAAAAAGGAAGAAATAATTGCTAATATCAACTCCTTTGAACTACTGTTGGAAAAAAGCATCCTAAATATTTTATTTGAAATTCAAGTTGAGGAGTATAATGATAGCTAGTAATATTGTTTTGTTTTGCAGAACTATGTGCCTATAAATTACCTTGTATCACCTTGTTTTGTTTAATTGGCATAACAATAAGCCTTAAATTAAAAATTGCCAGTGGCAGTCTTTTTACCTTTGAGCAAAGAATTTGGGAGTAATATGGGAGAATGAAATATGCCGACTGTTTCCATAATGATGGTGGGAATAGACTAAAGTTCAAACAAGGGAGAGGCTGAAACAGGGGTTAGGTCACAGTTAAAAAGTTCAAGACAGTTTTCCTATGTTTATAGATTACCTTCCCATAGATTTCTCGGTCTTCTTCTATCATCTTCATCCATGGTACCAAAAGAATGGCAAGGATGTATTCTTCTGCTAGGTCAAAAAGATCTTCAAATGGTGGATCAATTCTTTTGTAAATCTCATTTTTTGTAGACTGTTCTATTCCAATATCCAAAGTAGCAGACGGAGCAATATAATTAGCATAAAGCAACTGTGTTGGATTAAAAAAAAGAAGAGATAAATTGCTCAACAATTATCCAGTACAATAAGGTTCTGTTAAAATGAAAAATCAAAAAGGTTGCATTATTATTTGAATTTCCTTAGTTTTTTATTGTGATACTGTAACTAATAACTGCAACATGTAGTTTCTCCTTTCTTCCCTACTTATTTTTTTCTGATGATTTCTACTTTATTTTTTACCCCTCAAACAAACAAAAAAGTTTTTCCCCTTGATCCTAAGATTGGTTCATGTACACATTTCCATAGCTTTATGGGTATTTGTGAATGAGATCCAGATATGTATATGTTACTTACTGTTGCAGACACAGTGATTTTAAACAAGGACACTTGAACACATTATAATCTATACATAAAGTAAAATCCTGCAGTAGTAGATCTAAGTATACTATTCTGTACAAAATGAATATAAGAAAGCACTGCATAAAGAAGGAGCAGTAGCATAGGGCAGGATAGATTAAAATCTATCTGTCAGAATATTATAGTTACATGGAAAGTTTCTTTTAAAAAATACAGAAATAGTTTTAGGAAAATGCCACTGTGTGTGGTCTAGTAGTAAAATCCACTTTAACATCATAGTTTACTGCCATAGCCTTCTGCAGCACCTTCAGAGCAGCTAGACCTCAACTATAAGTCATCAATGTACCTTATTATGCTTATTTTTTGATTGGTAAGAAATTCCAGGGTAAAGTTAAACTGGCTTTATTTCCTTTGGAAGAAGATCAGTCCTACCAATATTTTAAAATAATGACATTTATTTATAGCTATCCAGGTTGAGCACAGGGCTGCTACATCAGAGAAAACAACCAGCACCACAAAATGTTCTTAGCTTGTCTTCCGCAAGTCTGTAATTTCTCTTCACATGTGGACATTATCTAAAACAACATCACTCTTAGCAAGCAATTGCCTAACATCTGAAAACCCCAACCAGTCATTTCCCTAATAAGATCTTCAGCAACATTACCAAGACTATTGAGACACTTGTCAGCGGTATTACTGAATCAATTATTTTTTTCTATTTAATCCCTATAAAATAACATTTGAGAACTAAATTGCAAATGATGACCCAATGTAGTCCATCTTCTGTGAGTTGTGTGAAAAAATGTTATGCAGCTTTGAAGACTACATTGAAATTACCAGGCTGCAGAATTTTTTTAAGAAATTGACAAAGAAAATAGTAACTAATCTCTATGTAAAACTGGTTTCAGTCCTACTGTATATGCTTAGATTATTTTTTGTCTCTCACTCTCTATAACATGCTTGGAGCATAACAGTAAATGTTCTAAACTCTGGGAAACTCAAATTCAATTTAGTTTGGATAGGAACTAATGGTGCATAGCTTAGTTCTGATCCAACTGGAATAACTGATGTAGCTGAGATTATTGAATCTGTCAATTCAAAGAGTTGTCTGAATTGATTTCCCAAATCAAACTTCACACAGCCCTGGTAGAAACTATTTTTTTTAATGTGAAATAAATGAAACTTAAAAAAAGAGAAGGAGTGTTATGTCACATTTTTAAAAATTACCACAATATCAAAATGTGAATACTTTCAGGGACTACATACTGTGATGAATAAATATATGATGATTTTACAGTATTGCATTTATTAAGGCTGTGGAGTTTTTTTAAAGAGATGCAGACCACAACAGTTATGCTCCTGTCAGCTACAAATGTCTTTGGAGAATTGGATCTGAAACATTACACAGCACCATTCTTTAATAAAGCATCCATATCCTTTTGAATAAAAACACCCCAGAGGGCTGTTTACAATTACTTAAAAACAATTTTAACAAAACAACCAAGAACAGCACACAGAGTCAATATTTAAAACCAAAACATAACAAATATTTTCTACCAGATATAACAAATGCTTGTTTAAATAAACAATATTCATATCCAGCAACATGAAAAACAGCCAGGGAGTACACCAGCTAACTTTGTGGGTCAAGATGTTCCATAATATGGGTGCAATCATTTAGGAAGCTCTCTTTTTCAAATTAATGAATAGTCTTCTAACTTAGATGGGGCCCAGAATAACAGTTCTCTTGGGAACAGACAGTTGGAGCAAATAGATTTTTAACAAGCAATCCAAGCTATTTCCCACTAACTGTCCCAGGACTCTAAAACAGAGATTAAGAAAAACCTCCTCACAGTCACAATCCTGGCACTAATCTTGGGTTGTTGCGCTGGTGTCCCAGCCAGAATTTCCTCCAGCTGGCCAATGGGAAGATACAAAGAGGGGGAGTAGCTGGCGCTCTTCCACTGCTTTTTTCCCCTTGCTATATTTGCTTTTGCTGGGGAGGGAGACAAGGAAGGGACTAAAACAATAGCAGCACCAACATGAGGGGAAATACAAAACTACCCCTTGGAATGAAAGATGGAGACATGTTAAAAAGAGGCCATTATGCCTTGCGTAAAGGAGGCTGGAGGAACTCCTGAAGTTAATAGACAAAGCAAGACTTGATTTCCCACCAAATCATTCTGTAGTTCCAGAAGAAATACTGAAAAAAATGCCTTTACTGTGTTCCTCTAAAGCATACAATTACAGAATCATAGCTTTGGAGGGTTGAAATGAAACTTGGATGTTTTGTACTCTAACTCCTGTGCAAGGGAGGAATCCTCAGTCCATCCCAGTCAAATGGCTGATCAACATCTGTTTGAAAATCTCCAGTGATGAAGCACCCTTGACTCCAGGAAGTAGGTTGTTTTCTCTGCTTAACAGCTCTCACAGTCAAGAAATTCCTTCTTATTTTGAGTTTGTATCTCTCTCTGTAAAGTTTCCATCTGTTGGTTCTTATCCTATCTTGAGGCATCATGAAATAAAAATCTACACTTTCTTCCTTGTCACAGCCCTTTAAGTACTAGAAGGCTGCTATCATGTTCTCCCTGAGCCTTCTCTTCTTTAAGCTCAACATACCTAGCACGGCTCATAGTTAATCTGCTTTCCAAAATCAAGACAAGCTTTGCAGCATCAAATAGAAATAGCCAGGCAGTTCTGATTTCAGATCAATGCAAAGACTGATCTGGGAAAATCAAACAAGACAGCAAGCTCAGCATCAAGATCCAAGCCTTGCATGTACAAAAGGGGTGTCTAAGCAAGCGCTAAACATGTGAATTATATCATTTTCTCCTGGAGGGTCAGTCAGAAAGCTAAGTTATAAGGAACTGTGCCATTTATAACTGTGAAGGAACAATCTGCGAAGCTCTGTAGTATTTGCTTTATTATAACTCTATGTTTTGAGGAGAAATTGAAAACTGCACACTTGTACAAGTAAAGTCCAGGCTGTGGTCACCATGGCATTTAGAGGAGCAAGGAAGAAAAGAAATACGGAAATATTTTTATGGTATAAACTTTAAGAGGTATAACTGATGACTTCTAAGACAGGAAGGTTTTCCACTACTGTATTGCTATCTGGTTTAGCTTACCCCTAGGCTGAAACTGCAGATCAAAGAGAAATTTAAGTTCTTCTCCAAGATGATGCCTTCTGAATGTGTGGGATTGCATTTTGTAGAATTCTAAGTCAGCATGGACAAAGGCTGGAAAACTAGGAATTCTGAGAATTGTAGGACAAGCCTACCTCTAAAGAGCCCCAGGTTGAAGAAAATTCTATGAAGCCAATCATAATGATTGAACTACTTATACAGTAAATTTGCAAGCTTTAGCTGACCTAAATGATATCATTCATGACATTTGTGTGATGACACTATGATCACTGTGAAGTCATTTGTCACTCAGATCAGATCCTAAAACTCAGAGCACTTCATTGGTTCTAGAGGTCCAATAGAACAGTATCTGGATGAGGTGCACTTGGTCTGATGGATTTCAATTCAATGAAAAACCACATCATCTGCCATTTAGTTGACTACTGAGTGCCAATAATTTTAATGCACTTTTTTCCTTTTCTTAATTATGAGAGCTCTCTATTATAAGTTCAATTCCCATTCTGTTTATGCTTTCCAGTTTTTTGCTGGAACACTACAACTTTCAAATGGTCTTTGTATAGAATAATACTCCCAACAATTATTGTATGATACAGTCCATTACATGGAAAATATGTTTTAAATGGCTTCCTATAAATGCTTGAAAAGTTCATACAAAAGTCACAGTATATATAATAAAATATCAGACTTCATTTATTTGGTGATTTCTTTTTTACTTCAGTAAAAGAATGTTTTATTCTATATCACCTCTATATATTTCTCTATAACATAAAATGTATTAGAGATGGGCCTAAAGCAACTTCCAGATGTGGGTTCTGCTTGGGTTTTGCATCTTTATGTAATTTCTAAGAGCAAAATCTGGAGACAATAAATCCAGCCCCCCCTTCCCCACACCCCTCTCTCACGCCCCCTTCCCTACCCCCCCTTCCCAAAAAAATCAGGTCAGCATTCAGGCTTTTAAAATCCTGAATCCAGGAAAGTAGAAATGGATCGACTCGTTTAATAAAATCATAACTTTTCTTCAAGTTTCAATTTTTAAACTCAAACTTTATAATCAAATCAAGCATTAATCCTTCTTGAGTTAAATAAGGAACTTAATTATATGATTAGCCATATAATGTCAAAAAGTTAGGTCTATCCTGCTCAAACACAATTCAGAACACCTGTATTATTTTCTAGCAGCTTAATTCCTGTCTACAGAACAATGCATTATATTTTTATATAAACTGCCTTTGGTATATGTCCCATAACTGTCTTTCATTTTTCTACCTCTAAACAACATTTTTTCCCAGGGCCAATTCCCACATATGTTTGTTGTTTTCCTTTTCCAATTCAGTTTGCAATTTACTATATGTACTTATAGCAAAATAACCACATACATTCCTTTCATTATACATACAGTGGTTCTCCCTCTGGAATACATTGTCTTTTCTTTAATATATCACAATGTTAAGACAGATATAAATAAAAGAAACGAAAAGGCTTAATAGAAATCAAATTACTTGTTTTAAGTGACATTATTACTCTAAAT